ACTTTTGACGCCTGAATCTGGCTTCACACACGGCAGTTTAAAAAGGCCAGCGTAGCGTATAAGAGCATTTTATGGGAGAAAAACAGACAAAATTCAAATGTAAAAGTGCAAAGAGAGCCAGAGAGAGCGTGCAGACTCCCCCTTCTCCTTCTCCAAGACTAATCTGAGTGTCTCTGGTGCTAAACCTTTCACACTGTGTTGTGTGCATATTTCATGCTCACAGTGGATCTTGTAGTCTGGCGGCAGCAGTCTGATGTGTGAGAGAGGGATGCGGCCCGTGTCGCCATCGTCAAACTCCACCGTGATGAGATCGTCATTCTCATCGATGTCTGAACTTCCTGTTTGGAAGAAACGAAAATGCGCAGGTCAGCAGGAACGATTGTATCTGGTTAGATTCGATTAAAAGGGCTGATGTAGCATGTTTCGATCTGAAGTCAAGAACAGAATCCAGACCAGTTACGTTTCCTTTACAATCTCCAAGACAGTAACATCCCTACAATGAAAGTGCAGCTCTGCTAAGATTGTTTGCATTTGTTTGTGCTGCTGGCAACAATGTAACTTGCTTATGAATCCTATCATTGAAGTGGTGGCTGTTTGTGCTCTTGTCGCACCGTTGACAACAGTGCCGGGGTAAAGACAGCGGTACTGCTGGCTCCAGTAGGCAGCGATGCGGGTGCCCTCAGGGAGATAGCGCACGGATGGAGGCTTCACATCAATGATCTGTACACACAGAAGTAGGAACTCTTATAAGGCAAGCTAAAGCATCAAACTATTTCATATATACTTTATTTTTGCTACTCTTTACACCTCACATATTTCACATAGATACTCACAGCCTCCTGGAGTAGTTGTTCCAAGCAGTAGATGTGCGGTCGGTTTCCTCGCTCCCCCTCCACCACCACACTGTATCTGTGGGAAAAGGGGAGTTGGTCAAAAGCTTGGGGTCATCGAGCAAGGGTCATCGCTTTTAACAACACTGTCAGACAGTCTCCTGAGCCACAGCAGCGTTCTTGGAAGTGTGAGTGGTCTCTTTGTCAGAACCAGAGCTTAGGCCATATCTTGATAGAGCTTGAAGTGTAGCAGATAGAGGAACCCACTCTCTTTACTATTGTTTTCACTTTGTGTGACTGTCATTGTGGCAAAATGTGGTTTTGGTGGTACTTACTTGTAGCAAGAACAACCACAGGGTCAAAAATATCTGTCTAACATAACCATACGGGATCCAAATTAACACAGATGTGAAATTTCATGTCGACAGTGGGAATGGGTCAAAAACTCATCAGTGAAATGTCATGTTTAATGTTTTCATTTTTCCATGTTTGTGTGAATGCATGTGTGTGGTTAAAGCAGGGGCTGTCAAACATAAGGCCCGAGGGCAAAAATTGGCCTGGTAAAGATCCCAATTCGGGCCACTGGATGGCTTTGGAAAATGTGACGGACAGCATGAACTTTTAGGCTTTTCTTGTGTTTACAACTTCTACTGAGAAAGCTCGCTTCAAACTTTTATGCTAAGCTAAGAAGCTGCTCAAACGCCTCACATGTTTTTCAAGTCTGCTAATGTGTACTCACATGTCAGGGGAGTGTACAGTGTTCACATGTCCTGCGTACAGTAGCTGGTCGTCCATCGGGATCAATACTCTGAGTCCGTCCACCAGAGAGTCCTTATCCAGCACACACTGCACTGGAGCTGAACACAACACCACCCCAAACAGTAATAAATATACATGCTATCATTTTAGCATGTGTGACAATCTGAGGTTCGAGTCTGCGGGCACTGACCGGGAGTCGAGGCACTCTCTGACACGCTGCTGCTTCGTGCTGGGACGAGTTCGTCCTCGCTGAAGCTGCTGTCTTGGTTGTGTTCGAAGTCTTCGTCTGCCGCCATGCTCTCCATCAGCCGGCTCACCGCACCCCTGGAAGGCTGCAACACAAACAAGCAGATTTGATTATATTCCCAAAAAAACGTGATGATGTTATTTTCCTTACAATCAAATTATTCTGGAACAAGAGTGATACCCCCCACGACACAGTGGCTTTTCTACTTAATGTTGACTTGTGGCACCTTCACCAAATCACCAGGCTGACACTCCACAAATGAACTTTTCACACACAAACAGTAGCATATTACAACGCTTATGCTGTCGAATAAACGATCTCCACCAGCACAAAGAGCCCTGCACACACTTCTGCTTCCTTTTCCAAAACAAACTCAAGTTTTGTCTGGCGGCAGATGGTGAGAAATACAACACTTTGGCAGAAATCACACAATTAGGTTTACTTTTTCCCCTCAGTAACAAAACAAAAGTGTTAAATCCAACACAAGCTATTAGTTTGTTTCTGAAG